TTACAATCTTCGCACTCCATATATAGACTAACATATTTGCGCTGTTGCCCCCAACCACACTTGAGTGGGGTTGTTTCCGTAGGTGGATTTTTGACACGGGTCTTGCCCGTGTTGAGATTGCGCTGGAACCCCCATTCCCTATACTACTTAACGAAAGTAAAACAGTACAGTCAGTGAAACAATAAGGTCGATAGGGACACGAGTGAAAAACGTCTGCGCATGCTCTGAATCCGTATGCAAATTAGTCTCAACATATGTCAATTTGACTTTTTAACATTGTTGATAAATTAGACTTCACAAAATGCCAAAACTTAGTGTCCATGTTTGAAACGATTTCGATCTATTTTGGCACCGTAAAACGATTGAAAACGCTCATCGGAAATGCATATATTTGAGAACGCTCATCAGAGTAGAGACATTTAAAAAACGGAGGCATATATAAACGGAAGCCTCTATAACTAAAGAATCTACCTAAATTTTCTCTTTAAAGTCAGTGAATTTGTATGGAAATCCGAGAACGATGTCCGAACTTTTTGGTGACCGTAACACAATCCAAGCTAGCGCCGAAAAGGTGAATTGGATCACGGAACGAGGGCCACAAGTTTGTTACCCACTGGCTATGAAGTGTTACCCTTGTAAAAAAACAAAAATAAACATGGAAGGTTATACAAGACCTACCTCGAATACATGCAAGTATTTATCCAGTGTCAGTCTCTTTAAAATACTCGATATATCGACTGATGAATCATTCCACTGTTCTCTTCCTGGAAAACCATGCTGTTGATACATGTCTTGGCGTTGTAAAGTATACTGCCAGGGATTATTAGAAATACCAGTCTCATTAGTAAAGGATTGCGACATCTCGACACTAGACCGCCTTGCTGTCTGCGCATTCTGTTCCCATCCACTACGCTGGTCACTACTGCTCTGAGATCGTGGGCTCTTATGTTTGGTGTTCCAGGAACGTACAGCGCTGTCGTCCACCGATGGCCGCGCCATTGAGTTAGAGCTTGGGTCGGGTTGACTTTGCGAGCGAGGAAGTGACGGCGATGAAGGCGCGCTGAACGCCCCTCGGTTTGAACTCCATTGATTATTCTGGTCAGGGTGGGGCAAACTAGAGCTGCTGTGTGTAGTGTGGGGGGTAGGGGTGAGGTTGTTGTCATTGAAGCTGGAAGAATTCCACACTCCACTGTTGTTCGCTGGCCCATCATTATCCATGATACTGTTGAGTTCCTGTCGACTACTGCTCTGACTGCTACTAGTGCTGTCTGAGTTATTCCATGCTTGTTTATCAGGGGGGTCATCGTCACACACAACTGATAACGCAGTGGGGAGGGCCTTGGGTTGTGATTGACCCCAGTTATTCCATGAGCTTGATAAAGGTCTTTGATCTGTTGGAAGATCTGCTGCCATCCCGATAGAACTGTCTGGTCCTGATTGATGATTCTGGGATAAGGACTTGTCTTTTGAAAGGTTTAGTGCGCTGATCCCGTTATTTTCAAAATCACCCTGGAACCGCATCAAAATGAAATTAGCCTTTCCGCAGTTGTAGAAATGCGTTGCATTGTGGGCTGTTTTGAGTCATGCTTCATCAGTCACGACATTTGAATCATCAAGAAACGAAGGAAATTTTAATATCACCACTAAGATGATCAGTTTTCAATTTTGAGGGATTTTCGTCCTAGTGCCCCTTTAAACACTGCTTACCTGTCCTGACCAGCTGATGCTGCGTGCGCGATCCAACTGGTCAGCTTCTTCACCACTAGACCAGGGATAAGGTGGTAATTGCCTGAAGAACAACGACAAACATTTATCAATAGAGAGTTTTAGATTGACATTTTTTTCTCCCCGCAAACGGCAAACGTGACCATGTTTTCATCGTTTTCTTGTATTTTACTTTACCTTTTACAAACCTTCTCACCAAGCGCAAATACTCTTTTGTTTTTCTACTTCTTGGACTTTTTTTGCGATTCTTTTTCAGTAATTTAAAAGAATTTTTTACTGGTCAACTGACGTTTCACGTTTGCCGTGAACGTAAATCTAAAACTCTCTAATGGCGGCTTTGCACCATCACGTGACGGCAGCCATGTTAGATGAAAGATACAATACAATCGTTTTACAAGAGAAAGAATTTAATTCCCGAGAGTAAAGGATCTTATTGTTCTGCCATCTAACTACAGGCAGCCCAAGCTGTATTGGTGCAAAGCCTCTATAAAGACAAAACGTGCATGTAAGAGATAATAGAGTGGATTACAAATAGATGATGGTTGTGTGAGGAGAGGGCGAGATCCTAGGTAATTAGGAAAGAAATGAAGCTAGAAAAGAGCGAAGGACATGACGATGAAGAAAAGGAAAAGAAAAGTAACGCAAAGGATAGGAAAGCAAAGCAAAGGAAGGAAGGGAATGGAAAGGAAAGGAAATAAAAGCAAAGCAAAGCAAAAGAAAGCCAAGGATTGGAAAGGGAAGGAAGAGAAAGAAAAGGAGCGAAAAGAAAAGGAAAAGAGAGCAAAGGAAGGGAATGGAAATGAAGAGAAAGGAAAGGAATGGAAAGGAATAGAAAGGAAAGAAAAGAGAGCAAAGGAAAGGAATGGAAATGAAGAGAAAGGAGAGGAAGGGAATGGAAGGAAAAAGGAAGCACTTACCCACTAAACAAGCTGTTTGAACCAGTGAACAACTCCATGCCAGGTAATGGCTGCTGTAACAAACCAATCACACATTTAACTTAATTGCATTACGAAATTGTGAATTAATTAGTGAGGAAAAAGCCACTCAGGAGAAGTTTGGAAATTGGATACTGAATCGTCCTTTCAGATTTCAGAATCAGAAGCATCCAAAATTGGGAGGGGAGAGGAGAGAGGTTTGGGGGAAGAGGGCGGAGGGGGAGGGGAGAGG